CCCCCCCCCGCTATCTGCCGGCACGCCCTGCCCATCTGGATAATGACAAACATAACCACTGAATTTGTTCAAAAAATCCCATACCTGTGTATCTAATGAAAAGTGATATGATGCACCAAAAATAGGAAGGCGATAATCAGAATTTTTCAGATTTTCCGCATCTTCATATTCCAGCTGCACAATACCATTTGCAAAAACTCCATTTTCGCTATTTCTGATGCAGTGCCTTCAAACGGTGCTGGTTTTGAATTTTTTGCAGTAAAAGACAAAAATGCACATAATTTTTCATATATCACGACAATGCGACAAATTCTCGAGGAGCTGGTTTCAACCAAAAATAAAATTTGAATTTTGAATATTATGACGACGTGAAGCTCGCTGAAAACCTACGTGATCCTTTCGGCATCTGGCAACGTGCCAATAAAATAACCACCAGGTCTCAATCGTTCAACAGCATTTTGTATCATTCGTCGTGCCTGCTTTTCACTTTCGAAACAGTAATGAAGTGAAAACTGACAACTGCACAAATCAAATTTCGTGAGACGATCAAAATAACGATCGCACAAACGATCCTACAAGAAAAATGATTGTAAAAGTTAGAAAAATCGTCAGAGCACCTGATGATAATCGAGGACTAGCAATGTTCGAGAAAAAGTGCTAACCCCACCCCCTCTCACCTCCTTCGTAACGCACACTAAGATCTCGAAACGGTTAAAAATCTTGCCCAATACTTTTGCCGGAGAATCATCGACCTGGTCATCCTCTCCGGAAACTAAACTAACGCCAAGGCAAACCATCAGGCAATGCAACATTGGTCAAAACAACTGGAAAAGTTGCTAATTTCACAAATGCCAAAATATCCTATAAATTACAGCTGAACCCAATACTTCAATTATCACTAACAATCAAATCATTAGGAATAAGGTTTGTACGGGGACAGCGAAACCGAAAAAAAAAACAGCTCTTTGAAGAGCAAAAAAAACACCTTCGTAGCATCAGCAACAATAAATTCAACGCTGAACAATGGTCTACTGGGGTTTTC